CGAGTTCTTCTTCGACCGGCACCCGGGCGTCTTCGCCTACGTGCTCAACTACTACCGCACCGGCAAGCTGCACTGCCCGGCCGACGTGTGCGGGCCGCTCTTCGAGGAGGAGCTCGGCTTCTGGGGCATCGACGAGACCGACGTGGAGGCCTGCTGCTGGATGACCTACCGGCAGCACCGCGACGCCGAGGAGGCGCTCGACTCCTTCGAGGCGCCCGACCCCGCCGGCGCCGCCAACGCCGCCAACGCCGCGGGTGCCCACGACGCGGGCCTGGACGACGAGGCGGGCGCGGGCGGCGGCGGCCTGGACGGCGCGGGCGGCGAGCTCAAGCGCCTCTGCTTCCAGGACGCGGGCGGCGGCGCCGGGGGGCCGCCAGGGGGCGCGGGCGGCGCGGGCGGCACGTGGTGGCGCCGCTGGCAGCCCCGCGTGTGGGCGCTCTTCGAGGACCCCTACTCGTCGCGGGCCGCCAGGGTGAGCGCGCTCTCGGAGCCACCCCCCCATCCCCTTCCCCTCTCCAGGCGCCCCCATCTCAACCCTCAGAACCCCATAGCCCGTCCCACCCCCTCCTGGTCTCTCTTTCTCGGCCTGCCCGTCTCTTAGAAGCCTCTTCCCGCAACCCCGAGTCTCCCGCACACCTCTGAACACGCCCCCCTCTCCCGGCCGTGCCCAGATCCTCAGAAGACGCGTCTCCAACATTCAGAATCCCCCAGACTCCTCCAAACCCCATCCCGCTTCTCTAAGCCGCCCTACACCCTTAGAAACCCTCCCCGACCGTGATATTTCGGGGTTCCTCTGAACAACCCCGCCCCTGCCTTTCCTGAACCCCTCTGAGACCCTCCGAAGACCTTTCCCCAACCCTCAGAGTCCTCCAAACCTCTTTTCACCTCCCCTGGCTACCCCTCGGATCCTCTCCCCAGCCCTCAGTTTTTTGGAGCATCTCCAGAGTCAGAAGACACCCCTTCCTAACCCGCAAAGTGTCCCAGGCCTGCAAACGCTGCCCCCCCTTTCCCCGCCCCCTGCAGACCCTCTGAAGCCCCCCTCTCCAGCCCTCAGTCTCTCATGCTCTCCCGACCCTCCCTGGCTCTCCCTCTGCCCGTCTCCCCGCCTCCTCCGTCTCTCCATCCAAGCTTGAGTCTCCTGGCTATTTTTGAACTTCCCTGCTTGTTCTGCCCCCAAAGTCTCCGAAGACGCCCCACCCCGCTCTCAGAGTCTCCTGAACTGCCTCGAACCTCCAGACCACTTGCTCTGGCTGGGACAGTTCCAGCTCCCCCCTCACTGTGACCCTGAGTCTCCGGGCATCTTCCCTCCTGGGACCCTCCAGCCCCTCTCTGTGTTCACAGCCCTTCCTGCATCCTCCACGCCAACTCTCATCCCAAGGATTTTCCCCATAAAGCTCCAGACTTCCCCCAAGCCTTTCACACTCCTCCTCAATGTCTCCAGAAGAGTCCTGAGCCCCCATAATATGCCTTTCCTCTCCAGAACCTCCCATATGTCCTCCAGAATTGCTTCTCCCTCATCCACAGATTCCCCCCGCTTCTCCCTTCCATCGTTTACCCTGCACAGCCCACTTTCCCTCTCTGGGGTCCCTCCCCCCTTACCCCTGGAGCCTCCTGGTCAGTCAATGACTTTCTCTTCTGCTCCACAACTTTGCCTGACCTCAATCCTTGGGACCCTTCTCAGGGTATCAGCCCTAAAACTTCTCAAAATAGCTCCCAGTTCTTTCTACCCTGCCTTGGTCTTCTTCCCTCCTCCCTCCCCCCCAGCCCTGCTGCCTCCCCCTTTCCCAAGCCGCACCCCCCTCCAGTCCAAAGTCCAAGACTGGGCCCCTCAGCCCCCACCCCAACCAGAGAGCCCACGCTCCAGCCTCAACTTCCCTCCAGCCTTATCTCCCTCGAAATTTTCCCCAAAGCTCCCTTCATCCACCCCCCCCCCCAAAACTTTCCCCAAACATCTGTAACTTGCCGGGCTCTATGGCCACCCTCCCCCTGGCTCTCCCTCGAACCTCTTCCTCCTCCTAACTTCCTCCCTGTGTTGGAAGAGAGGAGGACAGTTCAGAACGGGGCGGGGGTGGGGTGCGGGGTGGAATTAGAAAGACAGGGAAAGAGCAGAGACGCCAGGCCCCCTCCTAGCCTCCTGGGGACCTAACTCCCGGAGGAGCCGGGCCGGCCCCCTCCCCCCCACCGTGCCGTGTCCTGGGCCGGGAAGGACGCGGAGCCGCAGTGCCGCATTCGCGCCGGGGGAGGGAGCCGGGGGGAGGGGGGCCCGGAGGCACCGCATAAAGTTTGGTCCTCGGGAAGCGCTGAGTTGGCGAGATTTGGGGTTGGGTGGGGGGAGGTGGGGTAGAGGAGGCGCGGAAGGGACATGGCCCTAGATGCCCCCTCCGGCCTCTGAGTGGCCCTCTTCCCCATGGCCTGGGGCGCCCTTCCTTCTTGTGACCCCATTGAAGGGTGCTGAGGTGAGGCTAGGGGTCCGGGACAGCTACGGGATTCACTCGTTTACTCTACAAATGTTTTCTGAGTGTCCACGGCGGGCCAAGCACTTTCCAGCCTCCAACTTAGCTTGAGAGAGTTGGGAGCTGAGGCCACTGCAACGTGGAGGGTCCGGCCTCGCCTTCCCCTCGGTCCCCTCCCCATAATCTCTCCTTTCCTTCTTACAGGGACTCCGTGCCCTCCTACCCCTCCTGCTTTTGAACATCTCTGGGCGAGGGGTTAAACCAGTCCCGACGCCGTCCAGCCTCTACAGCTGCGCACTGCGGCGGGTGCCCACCTCCCCTCCCGTGCCCTGGGAGGGAAGGAGTTAATGGAGCTGCTGGCCCGCGGCCTCCGGGCGGTGGAGCCGCGGCTGCGCGCTGCCGGCTCGGCTCCGGCCGGGAAGGGGTTAAGACGGCGCCCGGCCGCTGCGGCTGCGCACTGCGGCGGGGGAGCTGTCCGCGGTGCTGGCCGCCGCGCCCCGCCCCCCGGCCCGGCCGGCCCGCCCCCACTGCGGTGCCGCAGCCCGCGCCGCGCGCCCCGCTCCGAGCGGGCGGGGGAGCACCGGGCATGCGCCCTGTGGCGGCCTTTGGCCCCTTAACCACTGCGGAGAAACCCAGAGGGGGGCGGGGCGGAGAGGGCCAGCGCTGACCCTCAGCCCGCCGCCAAGGCCTAGGGTCCTCTCTGCAACCTGACCCTGGCCCCCTCTCTTCTCTGCGCCCCAGGCCCTCCCTCCTCCTCTCCCCATCTGATAAAGTCTGCTTTTTACGGGACACCCATCCCTTTCCCTCTCTAAGGACTAAGCTCACTTCTTCCTCCTCCCCTCTATTTGGGAAAGCCCACTATCATCTCTAGGGGCCTGACCCCTCCCCTTCCTTCTCCAAGATCTTGACCCCGCCCCCTCTCCTCCTCAAGGCTTTCCTCAAAGCCTCACCATTGTGTAGCAGGACTCTGATGGGTCCCCAACCTGAAATGACTTAGGCACCCTCCCACCCCCAATGCTCTGCACCTCCGACAAGCCCCCTCACCTTTCTTTGGCGCTAGCCCTGTCCTCTCCCCCAACACCCAGGTCCCCGGCCCCCACTTCCTCCCGAAGAGCCATAAACCCCACGTCCCCTTATCTCCATAGGCTTTCCTAGGGAGTCAGTCTGGACTCCTCACTTCCTTGCTCCTCCCGGGCCTTAGCACCCCTCGGGCCCTCTGCGGTTCCACTTTCCTGCCCTGTGCTCTCAGGGTGAGGGCCTCACCCAGCCTTCTCCCTTTTCTGAGGCCCGGACATAGGTACCAAGGTCCTTAAACCTTGGCCCCTTGACCTTGCCCCCCACTAAGAGGCCCCCATATCCTAATAAGAGCTCACACCTTCTTACTAAGTTCCTGACACTGGGCCAAGCACTGTTTTAGGAGCCAGACCCTTTGCATACTAATATAATTTAATCCTCCCAATAACCCTGTAAAAAACTTGAGGTTCAGAAAACTTCATCTCCTGGCCCAAGTTAGGCAGGGGGAAAGCCGGATCCAAACCCAGCCTTTCTTACTCTTCACCGCCTCAGGATTCTGTCTCCCTGCCCACCTTCCCTTCCCCCTCCCTCAGCTCCAAAGCCCTTGAGACACAGAGGGGGTGTGATCTTAGTCTCCCCAACCCCATCCCCAGCCCACATCCCCGTGGCAGAACCCTTGGACCTGGCCAGAGAGCCCTGAGACAGGACACAGGGAACAGGAGGGTGAGGGGGAGGCGGTGTAAGAGACAGCAACTGCGGGCCAGAAATTGCAGTTTCCAGGAGAGCAGTTGGCCATCTGCTACCACTGCTGGGGCCAGCTCCTCTCTTGAGCTGGGGGAGAGCAGCCTCTGGTCCTTTCCCTCTCCTATCGCGAGTTTTAGATGGGAAATAAGATGCAGGAAGTGATGAAGGCATGGAATTGGGATGCTGAGATTCCCCAGGATTTTTGGGCTGGGAGAGTGGCCCCTAGGAGAGGCTTTTGGAGACGGCTAGTGGACCAGATGCCTGGGTCACCTTTTGTCCTCTGTCTCCCGCCCTGCCCCACAGTACGTGGCCTTCGCCTCCCTCTTATTCATCCTAATCTCCATCACCACCTTCTGCCTGGAGACCCACGAGGGCTTCATCCATATCAGCAACAAGACGGTGACACAGGCCTCCCCGATCCCGGGGGCTCCGCCGGAGAACATCACCAACGTGGAGGTGGAGACGGAGCCCTTCCTGACCTACGTGGAGGGCGTGTGCGTGGTCTGGTTCACCTTCGAGTTCCTCATGCGCATCACCTTCTGTCCGGACAAGGTGGAATTTCTCAAGAGCAGCCTCAACATCATCGACTGCGTTGCCATCCTGCCCTTTTATCTCGAGGTGGGCCTCTCGGGCCTCAGCTCCAAGGCCGCCAAAGACGTGCTGGGCTTCCTGCGGGTGGTCCGCTTCGTCCGAATCCTGCGCATCTTCAAGCTCACGCGCCACTTTGTGGGGCTGCGCGTGCTGGGCCACACGCTCCGCGCCAGCACCAATGAGTTCCTGCTGCTCATCATCTTCCTGGCGCTGGGGGTGCTCATCTTCGCCACCATGATCTACTACGCCGAGCGCATTGGCGCCGACCCCGATGACATCCTGGGCTCCAACCATACCTACTTCAAGAACATCCCCATCGGCTTCTGGTGGGCCGTGGTCACCATGACGACCCTCGGCTATGGAGACATGTACCCCAAGACGTGGTCGGGGATGCTGGTGGGGGCGCTGTGTGCCCTGGCGGGGGTGCTGACCATCGCCATGCCCGTGCCCGTCATTGTCAACAACTTTGGCATGTACTATTCGCTGGCCATGGCCAAGCAGAAGCTGCCTAAGAAGAAGAACAAACACATACCCCGGCCCCCCCAGCCCGGCTCGCCGAACTACTGCAAGCCCGACCCGCCCCCACCGCCCCCGCCCCACCCTCACCACGGCAGCGGCGGCATCAGCCCCCCGCCACCCATCACACCGCCCTCCATGGGGGTGACTGTGGCCGGGGCCTACCCGCCGGGGCCCCACACGCACCCCGGGCTGCTCAGGGGGGGAGCGGGTGGGCTGGGGATCATGGGGCTGCCTCCTCTGCCGGCCCCTGGGGAGCCTTGCCCGTTGGCTCAGGAGGAAGTGATTGAGATCAACAGGGCAGGTGAGGAGGGGGCGCGAGGGGCGGCGGGGGGCGGGGGTTGTGCCAGGCAGAGACTCATGGGAGGAGGTGGGGAGGTTTGGCCGGTGGAGGGAGGGGAGGCGAGAGTTTGTTGCTGAGGCTTAGAGAGACGGGATGGTCAGCAACCGAGACGAAAGAAAAGTAAACAGCCGTCAAGGAAGATAAAGAAGAGGCAGAGAAATAGTGACAGAGATTTTGTGTGAAAGAGACAGGTTTTTGGAGAGACAGGTGTAGCCAAGGTGTTCGGGGGGACCAGGGAGGCAGAGGAATGAGCCGTCCGGAGACATACACACTGGGAGAGAGGGTCGCCCGTGTGAGCCACGGGCTGGCCAGACACACAGGCCAAGAGGCAGGTGCAGCATCTCAGGAAAAGAGAGTCTAAAGGTGACAGAATCTGAGACCAAGAGATTGTCACTGAGAAGAGAGGGAGAGAGGACAGAGATGGAGGGCGGGGTGGGGGGTTGGCGGCAGAGAGTTCAGGTTCTAATAGCAGCGAGACGGAGAGAAGAGACAAGACTTAAAAACCAGGAGCTGGAGAGCGGCCCAGAGGGCAGAGCCGCCACGTGAGAGGAAGGTGACTTGGGACCCAGGGCCCGGTCTCTGGTTCTGCAGGGAGGAGGCAGAGAGGGGCCTGAGAGGTGTCGCCAAGAGGAAGAGGTGCAGTGAAGGAGATGAGGGCAGAAGGCAGTTGACTGGGCCTGTCTGTGCCCCCGGGGGGTCTGTGCCTCAGCTGCTGTGATTGGGGTGTCAGTCCTGGAGGAGGGAGAGGGTGGGGGGCCCCACCCCCATGACTTAAGTAGGTCAAGAAAGGGAGCTGGGCCTCCTGGCCCCCATCTTGCTCCCTCAGCCGCTGACCCAGTTTCACACCAATTAAAAATAGCTCGAGTCAGAGCCTGGGGGACCCCCACCTCCCCCCCCATCTGTCACCTTCCCAACCCCTCCCCACTGTGCCCTTTCCAGCGCCCAACACCCCTCCCTAAACAACCACCTCCCAGCCAGCTGCATCCCTCTAGCCATCTCTCCAAACCTACGCCAACCAACCCAACACCCTACCCCAGTCCTGCCCTTCCTAGCGCCCCACGCCCAGCCCAACCACCACTTCCTAAGGCAATGCTCCCCCAGACCCACCTCCATCCATCACCGTCAGACCACCCTTCCCTTTTGTCCTTCCCAGCGGTCAACACCCACCACCAGTGACCTGCCCCACAACTCACCCACCATGCCCCCTACCCTGCTCCAGCTGAGCCTCTCTCCCGTCACCCCCTCCCCACGCCCTGCCCTTCTGTCACCTGTGTCCAGCACCCGGGCCCCCCACGCCCTTTCCTTCCTTATCTCACCCTCGCCGTGCGTTCCCACACCTCACTCTCTCCTTTGTGTCTCTGTCTGACCCTGGGGACGCAGATCCCCGCCCCAACGGGGACCCAGCAGCAGCCGCGCTTGCCCATGAGGACTGTCCAGCCATCGACCAGCCCGCCATGTCCCCAGAAGACAAGAGCCCCATCACCCCCGGGAGCCGGGGCCGCTACAGCCGGGACCGAGCCTGCTTCCTCCTCACTGACTATGCCCCTTCCCCTGATGGCTCCATCCGGAAAGGTGAGGTGCCCTCCACTGGCCCCCCACCCTGGGACCCTCCCTCTGTCCCCCTCCCCCAGGGGAGGGGGAGAGAGGGGGATGGGGGAGGAGGTGCTGGACTTCCCTTCCCCCATCCCCTGGCCCCAAATTCCCTTCCCAGACCCCCTGCTCCAAGTTTCCTCACCACTGACCCTTCACCTGTCTTTATTCCATCTCCATTTCCCCCCACCCCACCCCGGACCCTCTGGCCTCTTCCCCTACCCCCAGCCACCGGTGCTACCCCACTGCCCCCCCCAGACTGGCGTAAGCCAGGCCCCCCAAGCTTCTTGCCCGACCTCAACGCCAACGCTGCGGCCTGGATATCCCCCTAGTGGACGAACCCCCTCCCCCCGGGGTAAGTAGCCCCCACCCTCTGAGCCCCCCCTCCCTCCCGACTAACTCCTCAAGAACATGCAGCCCCCACTGACCGAGACTCCTGCCCCCTCACCGTGAACGGCTCCATCCACTTAACCCCCAGCCCAGACACTGACCCCACACCTCCTGCCCAGGACTTGCCCTGCCCCTCACTAACCCACTCGAACTAACCACGTGCCTGACCCCCCCGCCCCGCCCTCACGACCGACCCCATCCTCACCCCCATCCGCATCTCTCTCCCTGCCTCCCCTCACCCCGGGTCTTTTTCATCCGATCAAGAAAACGGGGTGCACGCCCAGGACACCCTCCTGGGTGTAGGACAGGATGAGAAAGACCCAGCCACCCAGCCAGTCCCTTGTGAACGGGCCCCCGTGTCCCCAGCATGGTGTTAGGCACGGGGTTCAACAGTGAACAAAATCGACCCTCCCCGGAGCTCCCAGTTTGGAGGGAGAGGCAGAGAGACCTAGAAAGTCGCTCTCTGAGGCGACATATGCCGAAATGGAGGCGGCACAGGGACACGCAGGGAGAGGGAGAGGAGCACGATTGCCGGGGTAGGAGGGAGGCGACAGCAAAGGCTTCCTGAGGGAGCCGATGCCAGAGTCATCCCGACCTGGAGTGAGGAAGTGACCTCTTTAGACAGCAGTGACCAGAGCGAGCGGCACAGGCAAAGCCAGGGAGCCTGGGACTGGTCGATGGGCGGGAGGCAGGAAGGCAGGCCGGGCTGAGGGGACCTTGTGCGGGGACCTGGGGACAGCGGGTCAGCTCTGGGGCCTGGTGGGAATGGACTAGAGTGGGGAGACTGGCGGTCAGGAGGCTGGGGCGAGGGTCCAGGGGGAGAAGCCGAGGCCTGGGTCAGGGCCGCGAGGATGGAGAGGAAGGGACGAGGCAGAGAGGGTCAGGGGTCAGGGTTCAGGAGACACAGGGCTGGGGACTTGCCAGGGGGCGGTGAGGGGGGCCGAGTGAGGAGATGGTTCACAGATGAGTCGTTCAGCAAACACACCAAGCGCTTACCACATGCCAGGAGTTTAACAGAGCTTCTCGTATGTAATCCCCACAACAACCTCGCTCCATTCCCTCATTCCTTCATTGATTCATTCCTTCGTCCTGCAGCTAATTACTGAGGGCACAGTCCCAGGCACTGGCCGTTTGGCGGGACACACAGTGGGAATCTGCTATCACAGTTGCCACTCTAGAGCATGGGTCGGCCTTACAGCCCAGGGGCCAAGTCTGTCGGCCAGCTGTTTTATAAATAAAGCTTTATTGGAACCCAGCCACTGTCCTGCTGCGGAAGAGTTGCGACAGACACCATGGGGCCCTCAGACCCCAGAATATTTACTATCTGGCCCTTTACAGGAAAAGTGTGCCACCCGCTGATTGGAGGAACCATAAAATAAGTAAAAAAAGAGAATGAGATAATTACTCTGGTCACTTCAGATAAAGGGGCCTGAGAGGACCTTTTTGAGGTGACATGAAGCCTAAAAGGTAAAAAGGGCCAGCCAGGCAGAAGGGGCAGCAAGTGCAAAGGTCCTGAGGTACCGATGTGGGAGGAGCTTGGTTTGGTAAAGGAATAGCAAGGAGGGAAGTGTGGCTGAGCCGACTGGCCGAGGGGTGAGGGGTGCCAGGCAGAGTCTGGGGGAAGGATCGTGAGGGGGTTTTTGGCCATGATAAGAGGCAGGATTTTATCTGAAAAGCGCTGGGAAGCTACCCGAAGGAATTTGATCCATCTCTTAGTCATTCAACAAACATCTGTGGAATTTTCCTTAGAGATACAGATCCTAAAGAATCTCTGCCTTAGCGGGACTGGGAGCCTCCAGGGATGGCTCAGTCTAAACCCCCTTGTTGGACAGAAGTTCAGGGAGCAAACCCCAGGCCATAGAGCCAACGGGGATGAGAACCCAGGCTTCCAATCTCCCGGTCCAGAGGGGACTGTCTGGCTCTTCTTGTTCTGTCCCTCCATCTCTCCTTGTTGCAACCCCCCCCCATCATCCTTCATCCTCATCTCCTTACCACCTCCCCTCCCTGCTCCCACCCACCCCTCCCCCTGCTTGCACCCAGCCCTGTTACCACCCTTTGTCCCCCACCCCCAGGTCTGGATGGGCCCCCATGGAATCGGGGGGTGGAGGGGGTGGGGGGGTGGAGGGGTAGAGGGAGTGGGGAGGATTTGGGAATGTAGAGGAGGGAGGCGTGGTCGGGGGGAGGTCTCTGCTTCTCTTGCCTCTGATGCCAAAATCCATTCATTGAACTCAAATAATGGCTGGAGCTGATGGGGCTGACTGAATCCTCTGCCCCGAGGTCCCCGATCCCTCCCGCCTCCTCCCTTCCTCTCTATCCTTCTTCCTCCCTCCCGCCTCCTCCCTTCCTCTCTATCCTTCTTCCTCCGGGACCCACCCTCCACTGTTGTCCCCCTCCCTCCCTTTCCTCCTGGCCTGTCCCCCATGCACCTCCCACCCCTCCCTTCTCCATCTTCCCTCCCCAGCCACCTGAGTCCAACACCTGACCTACGTCCCCTTCCCTCCCCAGTCCTCTCCCTCCTCCTTTCCTTCGTCCCCCGCCCCCCAGCCACCCCGGAAGCTCCTTCCATATTTGATGTCTCCGGCCGCCCCCATTTCACTGCTCCCCCTCCCCGGAGAACACCAGAGAGGAGGACGAGATCCCGGCGTTTCTCCGTCCCCCCAACCGTGAGGCTGTGTTGGGGGGTTCCCCCTGACCCCTCTCCCCCCGCCGTGACTCTGTGTATTTCTGTCCCCAGCTCTTGTCACCGCCTGAGGCCTCGCGAGACCCTCGGTCCCCCCCTGCCCCTTTCCCCCAGGTTAGCAATCGGGAATGGCTGGGAGGGGGTGTCCCCAAGATACTGGGCTTCCAACCCCCCCCAGGCCCTCTCTCCTACGGTCAAGACGCCCTTGTGCAGACAGACCCCTGGGTGCTGCCTAGAAAAACCCTACAGGTGCCCCCAGACGCTGGCAGAACTGTTAAGACCCGCCAAGCTTTCCAGAGACCACCATGCTCCTCAGTCTTGGATCCCTTTGGGTCTCAAGACGCGTTTAGAACCTTCCCGTCAGAAGGCCCCCCATGTGAAGGCTTCTTGACCCTTTAAAGATGCCCCATGACAACTGCAGGTGAGCCTTGGCCCCCCCAGACTGCTCTGGGAGCTGTCCTCTGGCCCCCATGGGCCCTGCCCACTCTGCTCCACCCAGCCCCTCACCTCAAGGCACCCCCACCTGCTTTCCTCCTTCCTCCACATCGAGGCCGGCCGCACCCCCTCCCGCCGCGGCCCCGCGTGCCCCCCCCCCACGCTGCTCCCCAACATGCATCCCACCCAGCGCCCCCCCCCATGCCCATGCCGGTGCTGGCACCATCCGCCTTGCTGCCCCCACCTTATTGCCTCAGATGAGAGGGCCAACGGGGGGGGGGAGGGGGGGGTGAGCTATGGTGGGGATGGGGTGGGGGAGGCCCGGGGGGCGCCACCCTGCCTCCTAACCCTGAATCTCTCCCCCCTCCCCATGTCTGAACCTTTCTCCTCGACGCCGACTGACTGTCTGATTTGTTCATCTCTCTCTCCATCTCCTTGGTCCGCCTCTGTCCATCTCTCTGCTTCTGTCCTTCTGTCTTTTGGTATCTTGCTGTCTGTCTGTCTCTGTCTCCCTGGCTGTCTCGGTCTCTCTTGCTCCGGGTACCTCGTGCTCTCTCCCTCCTCTTTCTGTCTCTTGCCTTTTCCTGTCTCTCTCTCTCTCTCCATCTCGTATCCTCTGTCTGTTTCTCTCCTGCCGCTCTCTGTCTTGGGGTCTCTCTGTCTGTGGGACCCACCCCCCTGCACCCCCTTCTCCATGCTTCCCCCCTCGTGTTTCTGCCCCCCCCCCCCCCCAGGTTACGAGAAATCCCGCAGCCTGAGCAGCATCGCGGGCCTCAGCGGGGTGTCCCTGCGCCTCGCGCCCCTTGCCACCCCCCCTGGCTCGCCCAGGGCCGCCCGCCGCGCTCCCCCAACCCTGCCCTCCATCCTCTAGCGCTCCCCTCCCCCCCGTGGGGGGACTCGGGGGTGACAGGGAAGAAGGTCAAAGGAGCTGGGGGGGGGGTGGGGGAAAGGGTTTTTTTAAAAAAAATCAAAAAGTTATTAATAATATGCAACCGAGACGACGACGCCAGCAGACACCCCCGGGCCCCTCACCCCGACCTGGGCCCCCAGGATGGAGGGGGAGGAGCCAAAGCCCATCCTCCCCCTAATTCTCCGCACCCTCCCAAAAAAATAAAGCCTTCTCAGGTCTCCATGAGCCATAGGACACCCCCCTGCCATCCACTTGTGTAAATACGTCCAAATTATGCCAGTTACATTTTGGGGCACCTTCCCCCTACTCTGCATGCCTCCCCCAACCTGGACGCCACCTCCCCAACTCCACCTCAGCAATAAGCCGCCAAGGGTTGCATGCCATGCATTTGAGGGAAGGGGCACTCTGGGGAGGGGGCGGGGACCTCAAGGGGGTCGTCGGGCTGGCCTTTAAGCCACAGGAGGGTCTCCTAGCCTCCCACCCTTCACCCCAGGAAGGCAACCCATCACGCATTGATTAAAGAAGAAAAAAAAAAAAACTAGCAACAATGTGGGGGAAGGAGGAACATTCACTCAAAGCCAGAAACCAGAGCTGAACTCAGATGGCAGGAGCGGAGGCACGGAGGGGGTGGGGGTGGGGTGGGCTGCGGACAGCTGCTCCCTCAGCCTTTGGGAGGATCCCTCTGGTGAATTTCACCCTCTCATCCCCCCACCCCCATCCTCCACCCCCCAGGGATCTGCTCGCCTCTCTCCCCGCTGCATGGACTCAGACCTCCCATCTCAGAACTCCTGGGAGGATGTGGCCCCCAGCGCACAGAATTCCCCGACACCCCCTCCAGATTCCCGGGACGCGAGACCTGCTCCCGGAAGTCCCGAAACTGACCTTGGCGCCCCACATACCCCAAAGCCCCACAGGCTCCTGGGATGGGTCCCCAAACCCCACTCCCCCCATTGCATCCCGGCCCCTCTCGCACCGCCTCCACTCCGCTCACTTCAGCCTTAGGGATGCTCCGAGTCCTTCCCACACTCGAACATTTTCTGGACACCCCCAAATCCTCAGGCCTGCCCGCCACCCCTCGGCATCCCCAACTCTCTGACATCAGACATCCACCTCAGGTTCCCCTGACGCTAGAATTTCCGAAAGGGGCCCAACCTGTCTACAATTCCAGGGAACCGGACCTTAAGGGGGCACCCCCTTTCTTATGCCGACCCCTGCGTCCCCCAAGAGCCCCTTCCCTTAAATGGTGCCCCAAAGGCCCCCTCTTCATGGACCCCAGAGTTTCCCAGAGGGTCCTATTTGCACCCCTGGTGATCGGCTAACTTTTTAGGCAGCGCGAGGACAAACATTTCTTTTAAAAGTTTTGTCTCGCGGTATTTTGCACAGAAGCCGGTAAGTCCACTTGCTGCTGCTGGGCCAGGACACCGTTTACTTAGGTTAGAAGTGTTTCCGTTTCAAGGAGAGGCTGTGCCCGAATGGAGGGACACTGGCATCTCAGAAGCTTGGGAAACGACGACCTACCCACCCGGGCTGCGACCCCAGCCGCCCTTCCCCGGCGTTCCCCGCCCCGCCCCGCCGGCGGGTGCGCAGTCATTGCTCACATCCCATCCTGGCTCAAGGATGCGCTACCTCCCCCAAGCCCGGAGACCACGCCGGTCCCACAATCCTTAGAGGACCCTCCCCTTTCGGACCTGGGGGCCCACGGAATGAGCAACCTCCATCCCTCTGCTCCCATGGCCTCAGGAACCCCTCCACCCGAGGGTTGGGGTGGGGGGGTGTCACTGAGCACGATTTTTGATGCAACGATTCCTATGCAAGGGGCATTTTTGAGTCCCCCCCCCCATACTTCCATCGGCCCCTAAACCCTGTTGAATCGGGGGTGAGGGGTGGGGCGGGTTCTGGTGGGAGAGGGTGGGGCGGGGCAAAGGGCTAGGGGCTCCAGACACCAGGGTATGGGGGTGGGGACTGATTATATTGCCAAAGGGTTTAACTTCTTTCAAAAGCGCCCCCCTCCCCTTCTCCCGACCCTCGCGGAAGCCGAACGGTGCAGGGGAAGGGGGTGAGGATCTTTTCCACAAGGGTACGCACCTCTTCCCGACGTCTCCCCCCACCCTGCTCGCCAATCTGCCACACGTACCCAGCTTTTTAGTTCAGCTTTAAAAAAGAACCCCGATCATTAGAAACCTCTACAAAATGTGATCCCCCAAGTCGACAAACTAGTGTGGGATTCGGGGAGGGAAAGAGAGAGAGCTCAAGGGACAACTTGCAAGTCCCGCTCCCCTTTTCCCCCCGGCCGCCAGGGTGCCCGCAACTACACGCATGCGCTGCATGACGCGCTCCCCACACGCATGTCGCGCCCCTCCTGCGCGCCGGGAACGCACGGACCCGGGGCGGGGGTCGGGGCGATTGGGGAGGAAGGAATGGCGGGGGTCTTCCTGACTCAGCGGCTCCCCCCTCCCCAAAACACACACAGCAATAAGTTTCTCTCACTCCACTGTGGGCGGGGCGGGCCTGGCCTGTCGATGGGGGCGGGGGGGAGTGGCAGGGGGCGCTCTCAGGGATGGGGGCGGGTGTCCGGAGTCAGTCTGGGGAGGGGAGGTCTGCAAATCGTCCAACTCTGGTGCTAAGGGCGGGTCTTCTCGGCCCACCCCCAGGGCAGGGAGGGAGGGGTCGGCAGGCCCCTCCCCCAAGCCTCCCCCACGCCCACCCTGGGTGCATGAACCGCCCAACGCAGAAGCTGCCGCATGTCACCCCCCTCCCCAAAGAAGTGTCGTGCCCCCTTCCCACCCACCCTCTCACTCCCCACCAAAATAAAAGTTTCCTTTTCATTTAAAAGCCGCGTCCTGATTGTCTGCTGGGAAGGTCTCCGGATCAGGGCTAGGGGGGATTTGGGGGTTCAAGAGCAGGGGGTCGCATTAAACGGCAAAAGGGTGCACTTTGGGGGGCCGGACATCCCCTTGATCTCTGGCTCTCACCTTGTGATTGGGGGGGGGGACGAGTGCCTGCCTCAGTTTCCCTCATGGTAAAAATGGGGATCCACATTCCTAACCAGAAAGTCTGTGAGGGCACGTGGGTAATATGAGCCCCTAGGTGAGGGTCACTAGTCCCCAGGAGAGGAGTGGACCTGGGTCCCCAGCGTGGCTCGTATTACCAACTCTGAAGCCAGACTGAGCGGGTTCAACTGCTTAGGAGCTGTGTGTCCTTGGGCAAGTCTCTCACTCTCTCTGGGCTTGTTCCCACCCCTCTAAAAGGGCGGGAGGGGTCATCTACTCATTCAGCAAATATACGAAAGCCCGCTATGTACCAGGCACTGCTCTAGGCGCTGGAAGGCGGGGGTTCACTAACGGGGAGGCTTGGAGCAAGGGACATCGCAGCTCTGAGCCTCAGTTTCCCCATCTGTATAATGGAGAGAATACTTTGGAGGGAGGCTGGGTAAGGCGCAAATGAGTTCTTTCGCACTGAATGCCGGGTGCACAGGAAGTCCCTCAACAGCTGCGACTGGAACGAGCAGCCCACCCCACCCGAGCAGCCCACCCCACCCGCCGCCGCACGAGGCCCAAGAAGCCGGTGCCCATCCCGCGCCATCAGAGACACCCCCCCCCCCCCCCCCCCCCG